TCATTTGACTGTCCTACACCTGTTTTCGCATGTTCAGCTTGCTCAAATCAACAACCGGTGCTCCACGCCCACGATCCAGTGATACTTCGCCCAGCCACGATGGACGCGCAGTGGCAGCAATACCACTGGAATCAGTATTTGATGCAGCAACATCATCAGCAGCTCACCAACCCAGATACCACAATCTCTCCTCCCACCACCGCACACCACGCCTACCACCCCACAGGCACCTATGGCCCACTCACTCACGCACTTCGTACACATCACGTCCACCACTCCAACCCATATGTGACTCCACCGTACACACCACCATCGCAGCACACACCCCCACCCCAGGCACCCACCTCCCAGCCGGAGTTTCCACCTCCGCCACCGCCACCCCTGCCCACGGCCGAACCCGTTACTCCACCACCATCGACTTTCCAACACAGCCCACCGCCACCACCCACCACACGTGGCACCACAGCGCCTGCCCCACCGCCCCCACACATCCCATCTCCCACACCACCTGTTCCCGACTCCTGGAACCCAACCGAGCAACATTGGGACTCCAACACCCTGCACGGCCACCAATTACATCATACAATTCAACCCACCCAGTGGTCTCGAAAAGCAGGAGTGGCCGGCCTCCCCACCTTTGAGGTTTTCCCGTGGCAATTGGCTTACCACGGTACCTCCGAGTTCACCGCCCGTACCCTGAGCAACGGCAAATTCACAGGTTTCATTGCCACCAGAAGCATAGCGGAGTCGGTCTTCGTGACCCATTTTCTCCAACAACTCCGCGAGAACCGCCTTGACCTTGATGGCATCGCGGAAGCTCTCCACACACAACAGAGCACAGACATTCCCAACAAAACTACCCATGCCCGAGCGTTCCACGCTCCCCTCATCAAACTGCTTATCGACCAACTGCAAACCCACTCTCCAGCACCTGCGGAAGGCTCCGCCCTACGCGCCCTCAAGAACACCAACGACGAACTGGCTCGTGCACGTCAGAAACTCCACGACCTGGGCAACCCACTCACACCAGTCAAGAACACCAGCCGATCTTCTGCACCAGCCGCCCCTTCTCACGCACCCACGCCACCACCACCGAAACCACCAGCCATCACCGACGTCTTGCAACCACCACACCCCACGCTGCAAGACGATATCCCCGAAGGCTGGAACCACCCAGAGATCCAACAATGGGTCACCACCTTTGACCCCACCATCCAAGAAGCTGCGAAGGAAGTCATCCGACTGCTGCAAACAAGCAAAGTCACCACGCAGCAGCTAACAGAAGCAGCCACCAAGTATGGCCTCCCCCTCAACCGGGTCAACCGACGCAGCCTACAACAGCTGGTGGGAGTCGGCGCAGCCATTGGTTGCTGACTCGCCATCTTGGCCCAGCAGCAACCCAGCCACACCAACCTCACCCAACTCTTCCACCTGCACCGAGCACTTTCCATGCTCATTCACCGCACCCAATACATCGACCGCGCCGAGGCCATCTTTACCACCGGCCTCATCCACATCACACTCCTTTTCGCATACCCGTCCAACACCCGTCGTTCACAACAATGGCGCAACCGCCTCCGCCAGCTCCACATTTTACCCCACACCTACCACTACCACAACTTCCTCTCTTCCAATTCCGTCTACATCAAGCTCCACTTCAATCCCGACCAACCCCAACGCTGCTACCACCAACATGGCCACTTTTACGTTGGCTCCACAGCTATCGGCATCCCCCACCGCGAGCACAATCGCCGCGCAAAACTAAAACAACTCCAAAACAACATTCCCATTTCTGCAGAACTCTCCTTACGTTATTGGCATTCACACAACAACATCCACCACTACACCAGCATTCAACTCACCTCCCATGACACCTACGACCAAGCCTGGATCCAAGAGCACCACTACATCGCCAACTGGATGCCTTCACTCAACTGGCCTTTCATTTCCCACCAACTCAAACTCAAAGCTCAGGGATGGCAGTTCGCGAAACACAGAGCCCACTTCTACTCCAGACTAGCCACCCACAAACGACTTTTCCGACGCCTTCGACAACGCCAGTACACCCTCAGAGAACCACACCTCTATACACTTCCACTAAGCATCACGCCCTCCAACTTCTTCGCAACCTTACCAAACACACCGCAGCCTCTTTTGAGGCAGCAAAACAGATAAGAAGCGGCCGCCACACGGACCTCGAGGTGTATGCAATCCGGCGTATGGCCGCAAATTTGGAAGAACCTGGCCGCAGCCGAGCTCTTCACATCCTCAACAAAGCCTTGATCTACCGCAACCTCACGCCACCAAAGCCAAACATCCCATTGACAGTGCCCTTCTTGGCCCATGACGACTTTACCAAGCACTGCCAACAATGGCTTCGTACCACCATCCAGCAGCACAAGCATTTCACCATTCCCCTCCACCTCCCCTCCCACAGACTGAGGGAAGCCGCCCGCAAAACCCTCCGCTCCCACCTGCACAACCACCGCACATGGGAGGACACCCTCCACTCCCCGCCAGATTCAGCAGACCTCCCCTGTGCATGCGATCACCTTCGCACCCTCCTGCAGGATCCCGATACCCCTACCATCAACGGCCACTACATCCTTACACTTGACCAACTCCAACTCCCTACACACCTCAGCATTTTCCTCAACGCCAATATGAACAGCACCTATTACCCAAGCAAAGCTCGGTACTTCCTCATTTTCAAGACGGCCTATACCAAATGGCTCAAACTACAAGGGCTTCCACCATCCCTAGTTCAACACCTACAGCCTTTCCTAGAGCACCAATGGCGCCTTCACAACACACACCTCAAGCAGCAACCCCGTTTTACGGCCCGCCTGCTTCGTCAACTCCAAGAACATTTGGGTAAACACACATTACTCCACCATGCCGATCATGAGCTCCAACAACTGCGACTGTTTTGCCCTCGCCAATACTTCTTTGGCGCCTTGAACACCTGGCAATCCCCCGAACTATTTGAACCACTTCCCTACATCACTGCCGCCAACATCCATGACCACCTGGCCGCCACCGTCCCCCCCCATCCTGCGCACCCGCTACAAGTGGGGCTTCCGAAAAGACTTCAACATCCCCTACGGTGTTGTCCACCTTAAAGAGAAGAAGCACTGGCAAAAAGGCCGTACAATTATATCCTACTTCCAATCACTCAGCGGCAACTTGCTACGCATCACCAGCCGTGCCCTTGACATTATCCTCCAACACCTCTACCCTCAGCATCCAGGCCAAATGTCCATTCCACAGCTTTGGCACCACTTTCACAGTTACCTCACCCAAACCCCACCCGACATCTCACTACACGCCACCAATGATGACCTGGTCGGCTTTTTCAACTCCGTCCCCCAGCACAGACTCATCGATGCAGTCCACTCCCTTGTTCTCCACTGGCAACAACAGCAATCCACACACACCTTAACGGTGGATGTCCAGGCCACCGGCAATCCGTTCCACCACTCTCACATTGGCAGACACCATCGCAAACACCCTACCCAGCGCACCATCCAGACTTCCGACATCACCACCATTGTGGCTTTTGCCCTCGACACATGCATTTTCCGGGCTTGCAACAACACTTACAAACAAATCCGAGGGGCCGGGATTGGATCCCAGCTCTCTCCAGCCCTATGCAACGTTGCTATCACCCTCATTGAGCACTCCTGGCATCAGATACACAACAACCTCCTTCAACACACAGACCTCCACTTTACTTACTATCGCTATGTTGACAACCGTTTCATTGTCCACAACGAACATTTCCTTCAGCACCCGGCTATCCAAACCCTTATCCACCACAATTTCTTTGGCGACCCTGTGGAACTCGAACCGGTGGAGGATTTTCATCTCCTCGGTTTCAACATCGACCTCCCACAACGCACTATCACCTACATGCAACCTTCTCAACCCTGGAAAATCCGGGATTCCACAACCGCCGGGAGCCAGCGCTTGGCTCTATCAGGCCTCCAATCACGACTCCACACCATTCGAAAATACACATTTCCACCCTCCAGCGCTGACGCTGCTGCGGCTGAACTCGTGAACCTATATGTCCAAAAGGGGCATAACTTCCACGCCTGCCACCGGTTTTTGAAAAAAGCGCCGAATGCGGCGACCTGTGTGTGTCCCACCCTGGACAAAGGGTCTTTCACCACCACTCTTTCCACTTTACACAGGCAGGGGAACTGGGCACTCTGTGACTGACCCAGTTCAACGAAGCTAGGTCACAGAGTGGGATATTCGGACTGATCATCCGAACGTACCTGCGCCAGTTTTGAACTTTTGACCAAGCCGTTCCAATCACTCTCTCTTGCTTTCATGGTGGTTCCACGATACTTTCCCCCAAACCTATCCCCGCCACAGCCTTGCAGCCGCTTTCCCGCTGAGCAGCGCCGACAGATCGTTCTGCAGACTTGCACCTGTGGAAACACTTTTTAAACAATACTGTTTTGGCCGACTCATGCACCTTGCTGTTCCCTCACCATTTTCCCAACGTGGTAACTGAGTCACTGAATACAAGTGTCAGAGTGTGTGTGTTATTTTTTTAAAATGTTATCTACCTTGTGGATCCTTATGGGGTCGTGGGGGGGCCTCTTGTGGCATCTAAATATGCCTGGAGTACTACCTGGAGTCTCAAAGCACCTCCGACAATGGGGCCCCAGTCGTACCTGATTTTGTGGGGTCCTGTCCCCTTTTCTAAAGGTACTTGAAGTCGGGTCCAGGTATATATTTTAAATATTGTATGACCCTAACGATCCGCACCCTCAAAAACAAGGCTTTTGAGGGTACAAACCCTTGTGAACTAGAGGGTTCGACCCCGAACGCCATGGAGGGTCCGGACTCGGATCCTTAGGGGACCAACTCCAGTAAAATGATGTCAACGCCATGGATCACGCGCACACCGTCCTCGCGACCTGCCGCGAGGCGCAAGGACCGATCGCATCAACGTCGTTCGTTCGGTGTCGGTCAACGGTCCCGGCCAGGATGATGTACATGGCATAGCTGCCCAGCAGGATCAGTGTCGCGATGATGTGAATTCCCATGGCCCAAAGTCGATACCTGGTTTTGTGCCAGGGCCAGGCTCGCAACGAGTCCCTATGGGAAAAAAACTATAGTAAAACAATGGTTCTTCTTCAATAAATGATTTTTGGAAGCCTAGGGAAACGGAACTCAACAGCTGCATATATGAGCAGTAGACCTTGGAAGACCCTACCAGGACCATTGGATGGTCCTGGTATGTTCCTCCGCAAGCAAACATGCATTGTGCTGGATCATGCAAGCCTTTCGGGCCTGTTCAAATGCCCAAGCCTAGTGATGGGGGGCCTCCTCATTTTCCAAGGTCACCCCCTCGTTCACTCTAATACTACCCAAACACTCCATGGGACTGCCATATTTGCCTACATTGGGGTGGTTTGGGGGGTCAATGTTATAAATTTACAGTATATAGTGTTGCCAGAGACAGCCAAGTAATGATTAGTAATGATTTTTATAAATGTCTTTTTAGTATATTATTTTGGAGCCTTGGTTGTTGAAATGGGGGGGTGATTAATCAAGAGTCAACATTATGGCTAAAAATGCAGGAGCTTTCCCTTCCAACACTCCTGTTTGCATCAAAAGCTGGATAAAAATGATAAAGGTTAACTATAAACGTTCGAACTCTTGATCTAAATGTTTGGGAAACCCATCCCGTAGAAGTTTTTCGGCTAGGAGTTGAACAGATCGTTGAACAGGGGCCAGTCCGACGAAGCACCGGGCCCGACGAACGCCCGTCCGTTCTCTCTCTCACCCGCTGCCAAGGGGCGAGCCCTTGTGCAAAGTGCCTTCCAAGTACTGGGCGATCAAAAAGAGGCAAACGATAATGGCCACCACGTTCAAAGCCATAGCGAACAAGGCCCCCATGCCCATGAAGTAGGCCATCTTGAAACCTGAAGAAAACTCTGAGCAGCTGTGATGTCTCGCAGTGAAAAAACGTTTCAATCCTTGGAAGTGGCATCACAAAAACCGAAGGACATGAGGAATCATGCGGCTTCTCACCTTCTGGAGCCTCTTAGAAAACCTTCGGAGCAGGTTTCACGTGTTCACGCACCATTCCTTCCCCTCACGCGATGTATTCACTTTCAACGAAACCCACCTCACCTCCCGGTCGCGTCTCGCGTCTCGCGAGGTCGACGCCTTCACAGGGCGCAGGGAAGGTGGCGATCAGCAGGGGCGAACACCATTCATCCGCAGCATCTTGCAACGTGATGCCTTCCGATAAGCGATCACCTCGGTGATGAAGCCGAGGGCTGGGACGACAGCGAGAGTGGGGACGGATACATGGAGACCGATGCAAATAGAGCGCAGCGAGGGAAAATGGTTGGAAGTTTCAACGAAGGGTTGAGGAAACGCCAGACCGCCAGTGGCGCAGGGCGCAGCTTGGTCTCCAAGAACGGAGCGGTCTGGCAAAGCGGTAGCTTCTCTCGGAAGAAGGGCGGTCGCCGACTGCCCCATTTGCGGGGGGGGCCCGACAGTGGACGAAGTTTGGACCAAAGAATGTGTCATGTTTGTTCCGGGAGTGCGGCTACTAATTGCAATTTTGGAATGCACTGCTTGAACAACATACAGTGCACATAGACGGCCGCCCTGTCCCTTGCTGCACCAGTTGCAGCTCTCCATCCATCCATCTGACTTGTTTTTCCGCTTCGGAAAGCGGCCAACGAGTCCCCAACGGAGCACCCACCAGCAGTGGACCGTTGGGAGGGGAAGTTCTTCTCGAGAAGGAAAAAACGGTGAGATTCCTCGTCCACCAGTGACTTGCATAGATTTGCAGTGAATTCAAGAGTCCCTAGGGCTCCTGTCCCATATCCTCAGGTTCAGTGGTTAGAAGCGCCTGGCACCCACCATCACCATCTTCTCAGGAGGGGGCGGCCAGGAGCCCAAATTAGGGAGTCAATGGCACAAAAGCCCTGCCAGTTCGGTGTATCTGGCACAATCCATCGGAAGTTGGTGCCATCCAAGCTCTGAAACCACTGTACTGGTCTGAATCCCAAGCCACCCGTGCTGATTCTGTTCAGTTGCCCTTCAGTTCGGCGTCTTTGGCGGGTCGTCGTCTTCTCGGCGTGCGGTTTGCGCCATGCAGTCACATCCAGTCACATCCGGCCAGTGGTACTTGAAGGCTTAGGGAAAACATGGAGTCCCTATATAGGGGCTGGGAACCCGTCCACAATGGTCCGGCAGGACTTAGTAGGTGAAGTCGGACATGGCGCCATGTCTATCCAATCCCTGGGGAAGGTAGGGATCCAGTGAGGAAGGAGACATTGGTTTTGGAGATTTTAAAGTTCACGTCATACCGAACCACGGGATCCGACGGGATCCACGGTACACGTGGATCCACCGGCGGGGTCAATGCACATGGGGATCCTACGGCGTGAGGCGTCCTCTGAACGACTGCCAAGCTGCACATGCCGGGCTTCAGGCGAGACTGGTCGCGGTAGAAGCACAAAAGGCTGGAACCAGTGTCCACACGGGTGTACCTGCACCAGACCGGGTCACCGCGAGAAAACTCGCGACTTAAAAAGAAAGACGCGGACGTTGTCCGGAGGGAGGCAGTGGGATGCAACATGTCGATCCGAAACCATGGGTGCTTTTCACAATGAAGTCCAGGGCATCCCTGATCGGCAGAAATATATAGTCGAGAGGTAGTAACATATTGTAACATGCTTTTTGAGATGTCCTCATGCCTCACCTGCCGGCTTTCTCATGAGTTTCTGATTTATCCTGCTTTCTTCTCGGTACCTGCCACGTAACGGGCTCGACTCCACCTCCACCCGCTGCCAAGGTGCAAGAGCCCGGTCTCCATCTTCATGAGCGTCATGCTAGTGATCGACTCGGCACATCGAGCCCGGGCACCAAGTTGAGAGACCACCATGTTCAAAAGGAACATCGGTTTTACCGGACTCCAGTCGTACCGAACCTGAGGTGAAGGTGGGACTGGGGTGGGTCTAAACACCGAAGCTGAGGAGGTACGACGAAGTCGGTGTAGGGTAATATCGTGTATATGAGCGGGGGCGCATGGGGGGAACCCAACACTCGTAGCCAGATTTTTGTTTTCTCACCCCGAAGCCCCATGCAACCCATCAAACACCTCCATCAAACAGCCAGCACTTGCACATGCCCCTCTACCATTCATATGGGACCGCTAGAGACTCCGGGCCCCGACTGACCTGGGCATCGGGCACCGGACCTTTACCCCCTTGCGGTCCGACCCCATGGACTCTCCATGGAGAGCCATCAAATCCTCCGATCCTACACCCAGGCACGTTCATGAACCGCAAGGAATGCCACTTGATCTGCGTCGCGATCGATTGCAGCACCAGGGCGAAGACACTGCCTACGCCCGTCGCGGTGTTCCGGCCCCGGGCTGAGCCGGAACACAAACCCTACAAGTCCAGTCTGACCCAGTAAGACCTGGTTCTTTTACCTCCTTAAGTATTGGTGTTGTATGACCATGCCCAGTAAAATGAGGTCTTTGACTTGTAGGCAAAAAAGACGAAAATGAAGGTGGACCCTCCGGGCGATCGGCTGTTTGGAGACCCGACTGGTCCAACCTGGACACCGGACTGGTACATGCTGGACCAGTCGGGTGCTGGTGGACAATGGTGGACACCTGTTCTAGACCTGGATGTTCTGGTTTTGAGTGGGGTGCCACCATTCCCCAGAAAACGGAGGTGATCAAGTGATATCAAGTGACTGGGGTATGGTTTGCTTGCGGATCAAAGCATCTCTATTGCACATGGGTCCAAGCCCATTGTCATCCCATCTCACTATGGTACAATTATATAGGTTGTAGACTTGGATTTGCTGTCCATATAACTGGAAAACACAATGTAAGTATTAATGTTACCCAGTTTGGGAAAATGCAACACATAATATGAACAGCAAAGCATCGCAAAACCAGGTACCAACACCCTCCAACAGGGCACAACCTGCACTTTGACGTCTGCAAAAGCCACCAAAGAAGACTATGCCATGATCGTTATGAGTCTTTGATCAGCCTGCCCCGAGCTCGAAGGGAAGAGCCCAGCTCAAGACGTCGTCTATGAAATCCGACCGAGTCACAAAAGGCATACATCACAGCCACTTTGGTGCCCATGGTCGATGTCGAAATCCTCAGGAAGCAAGCGATGTGTCAAAGAACACAGCCTCAAGGGCCTGAAGAGAATGCCACCTGGAAACGCGGGGGGGGAGAACAAACACACATGGAACCTGAGAAATGGACCAGACTGGAAAACGATTTTGCTCTACAAACCCAGTTGTTTTCCTGGTACGGTGAGGAAGGAGACACGAGGATTCTGTAGGTGCCAAAACGTCGGGTCGACAACGGATCCATACCCAAACACTCCATGGGAATGCCATAGATGCCGATCAGGCCAGGGGTGGTTCCAGGGGGGTCAATGTAGGCATCTATGGCATAAATGGCATACATGGAGTGTATGGGCTATAGTTCATGAGTCAAGTCACCAAAGTTCATCATCCCCCTATACCTCCAGTAGTAACTTCGTTTCGTTTCGGTGGGACTGGGGGGCCCAGGTGCCAGGAGGGTCTAAATACCGAACCTGAACGACCCCAAAAAAGACACCCCCTTTGGGGCACCACCCCTGGCCTTTTCTCGGCAAATATGGCAGTCCCATGGGGTAGCCCAAAATGCGAACGCGCTGCCATTTAGAATCCTTTTGATCTGCCTTCTCTCCGCCCGCCCGAATTACTGCGCATTCGGAATACGACCGGCATCTTCCTGTCGGGGTCACCTGGCTGGAAGCCCCTCACGCTACGCACATGGATCTCCAGCCAGGACACCTCGACGGGAAGGTCCACTTGCCTTTTGCCCCTAGGGATCCAAGTGCCTTCTCAGAAGGTGATTGCAAGCACTGTTATGTAGGTGCCAGGAGGGTCCAGTGGCACCTTTTGAGAAGGTACTTGAATCCCTGCGGTATGTAAGCATGTGCCTTCACAACTCGCGCATGCAAGGCGAGCCGCTCAGCTGAGAAAGGACCTGTCGAGTAGAACGTACTTTTAGGCTCTGAGCCAAAATGCCACCGCCAATGGTCGGATGCTTTGGAGGTCATGTCTGGTATCTCGTGAGAAGAAGCAGTGCACATGTGCACATGTGCGCGGCGCAGGGCGCCTGGATTTGAGGGCGCGAAAGCTTTGAACACCAACCTGATTTGTGGATGCTCCTGGATACAGTCCAGGAGCATCCAAGTGCCAATGTAGTCCTTTTGATTCATAAAACCCAACATATGAAGATTGTTTCATCCAAATGTTGGGTTGTCGACTTTTGAGTCTACATGACTTCTGGGACTTGTGAATGCTCTGGCGCACTCTTTTCCCCACCAAAGGCGCCCATCGCTCGCGTAAGACCTGTGACGGGGGTCCTACAGTTCATCTTCCCAAAAGGGAGCCATTTGTAGACTTGTGTTCAGGTGGCTGGCCCCAAAAAGACTTATCTCTTTCACGGTGGCGGCGGCGTATGTGGACTTTCTCAACGTTTCACAACAATTTAGTTGCTGAGTTTCAAAACACCCCATGTCGACTCCATGTATGGAATACTTGGAATTGGATGGTTTCAGGGGTCAGTATAATGGAGTATATATGTATACCGTGGATTTGCTGAAGAAACCTAGAAAATGACAACTATATATATTTACCAGGACCTTCCAACAGGTCACCACCTGCGACTTTTAAGTCTACAAAAGCCTCTAGAGGAGACCTGTTGGAAGGTGCTGGTATATATTTCCGGGGATTCGCCCAGTTCGGGAAGAAAAACACCTGAAAACCGCAGTCTACCAGGATACACTCTGACGAGCCCATGGAAGTGGAACATGATGGAACATGGCCCCTTGAGGAAAACAACAGTTCCACTTCCAAAGGCTATGACCAGGTAGACTTCGATGTGCTCCCTTCAGGTGGTAGCACCGGGTGCAAGTGCGGACATACGCCGGTTTTGCACATGCTTCATAGACAATCATGTGTTTTAAGAGGTTTTTAAGTATACACTCCCTGAAACAATCATCAACACACCTCAACACACGTTTTTCAAGGGCAGGCCGCCAGGCCTGTTCTTTCTCGTCACCGTTGCTGTATCTCAAACCTCAAAGATCCAGCGCTGCAGAGCTGGCTGGACGTTGGAAGGACGAAGATCTGCACCCAAAGTGGGATGGGTTGGAGTGGTTACTACTAGCTTATTGTTTCTACTTGCTTCTTGTTACTACTAGTATGGCACTTGTTACTAGAAGCGATGCACTTGTTACTACTAGCTTATTGTTGTACACCAGTTGGCACTCTCAAACATCTGGAACTGTTCCCTCTGCGGACGCGGGATTTTGGTTCTAAACCCAAACACGACTAATTCTAGGGACTGCCAGTCCGGACTGCCCAGAAACAGCCAGGGCATTGACCCTCCTGGCACAGAGGTCTCCACATGTCCCATTTGGGTAAGAGCTCCCCAGCCCAGCACGGATGTGTCCAATCGAAATCTGCTTGCACCCTGGCTCAACGATCATGCCAAGGTCCAGGTACGGCTTCCATCGTCTCACGAGAGATGAGTGCATTCACCACCCGAAGTCGAACTTCGGGGAACGACCAAAAACATGGGAACGACCTGCCCAAACGCAACCCTGGGCCCTCATATGGAGGGGTCGGACCCGAATCCTTTGGAGGGGTCTGGGGTCTCAAATCCCTAGGTTTTGAGGGACCAAGGGTCGTTTGGAGCGTTTGGGTGGTTAGTGTAAAATCCGGAGTGAATTCGGGATTCGGCCTATTCAATTAAGGGTTGTTGGAGGCCTAGGGATTAATGACATTGACTATATCGAAACCGCTTCACATAGCAAGGAAGCACCGCACACAAATAGAGGACAATACCCCCGGGCTGTGTGATCAAGTGTATTCACAACTGTTTCAAGGGAGGCTAGTATTCGGCATGCACACAAGACCTTGGTCTTGGCCTTGGCAAAAGCCTGCAGGCTATCAAAAAAGGGAAGGCCCTCAGTGCTCCGGGGAAGAACAAGTGCAATCCAACTTTGACCAATCATGCTGATGGTGCCGAGCCTACAATGACACCCAACAACAATTGGCCGTGAAATCAGCTTCACATGGATGTCAACTGGTCACATCCCGTACTCGTACTCCCAGCAAACATCCCAGAACGGTTGAGTCGTGAGTCGAACAGCCTGTGGGATCTTCAACGGGAATCCATATATTGTATATCCCCTAGAAGTCGATTCACACTTGTTTTACCGAACAAGTTTCACTAAGGGCTTTACACTACAAAACCAGATCAACAATTAAACAAATTGTCTTTGACTTCCAGGGATCTACAGTATGTATGCACCCTTTCTTACTTTTCCTTTCGCAAATACTGGAGTCCAGCCCCTTGGTGCCACGGTGAGGGAAAATCTCACCGTGTAGTTTGTCAGGCTGTACAAAACACCTCGCCAACAAAAAAGGATTCATCCATCCCTAGGGATCCAAGTACCTTCTCAGAAGGTGATTGGAGACACTGTTATGTAGGTTTGGAGGGTCCAAGTACCTTCTGAGAAGGTATCCCTAGGGCATGATAGGGAACATAAACATCAACCCGATCTACAAAACACAGCACATGGGCCACAAAAACGCCAGAGAAGTCCGGACTGGACCATTCTAAAAGGGTTGGTCTCCGGTTTTGTAGTGCCAAAATCCAAGCATTCTCCGGTGTCTTAAACTGGTGGTTCGACTTCCTAGGGGTTTTGGCTTCTTGGATCTTCATTAGCCTTTAATAATGGCATCGCCTGGCCCGTGCATCCCCGCCCCCGGTTGGACGGAGGCACAGCAGTCGCCCAGGGAGTCTGGATCCCTCAGGACGGAGCAAAGCTGAGAAGCAACGCATCCTAAACCCTAGCCTTCAAAGACTATTAAAAGAACGGTTGAGCTGGTGGTGTAGTGAAGTGTAAACTTCCTTAGTAAAACAATGGTTCTTTGGGATTCAGACCATTAAAACAATGGTTGTTTGAATGGCTAAAGGATGGTACTTGTTGGGTATGGTATATCCCAAACAATCCCAAACACCCTGGGCCCATGTGGATGATGGGGCGTGGTCGCAGGCCTTTCTCTCGAAGAGTATTATGATGAGCCTGGAACACAACTGACCCCTGTTTTGATAGGAAAAGGCCATTGGGGGGCGTTGGTTGTCCAAAATAGAGGTCATTCAGGTTCGTCTTTGTTTTCTTATGTTTTCTTTCATGACCAGCTCCTTCAACAGAAATCACAGGGGTCCATCCACGGTTCTGTACGACGGCCCGTCGCTTCTCAGCTTTCACGAACACCCAACATCAGATTCACCTCAGCGATGTGTCAGGAGTCAGGTGTCATGTCTGCAAACATCAAGTAAGTACCCAGACGCGACCCTGGACAGGTCGGACCCGAATCCTTTGGAGGGTCTGGGGTCTCAAATCCCTAGGGTTTTGAGGTACCAAGGGCTGTTTGGAGCGTCTGGGTAGCAGCAAGGTTGAAGAAGCCTATAGACTATAGGTACCCCAGGTGACGGGTCCTAGTCGTCCTAGTTCAGGTCACTTAACCTCTGTTGGTAGCCATCCTCGAAGACTTTCCTGAATTTCACCTTGCCGCTTGTGCAAGTTCTCCGCAAGCGCGGGAGTCCGGGAGTGAGAAAACCCTTGACCCTGACCCAGCACCGTGCAGATCCGAACCGAGAGCAGCTCCGGTGGCATGAATTCTGTTTTGGATCGCCCAGGCACGAAAAGTTGGCTTGGCACTTCTGCGCCTCCTCGTCCTTCTTGCCTGCACACCCTCGATCTTGACCTGAAAAGTTGCTCATATATGGTGCAAGAAAGAAGACTTCTAAGATCTTCCTGGCCTGGAATGCATCAGATGTCAGAATTAGCAGCTGTAGGCAGTTGATTGGAAATCGAATGCGTCCACATCCTATCCACAGCATCACCTGCAATTCTTTCCAGTGCACTGATCAAATCAGCAAGACTGGGGCAAACATTCTTGGGAAATGGATCACATGGACCAAGCCAAGGCTCATGTGTTCGAACCGTCGGTCTGTATGGTGAAAACCATTGAGTTTTACCATGTTTTTCGCACCCCAAAGCTATGGGAAGTCCGCTCCATTTGAGCCTTCCAACAACCCCAGAAACCCCATGGGACTGCCATATATATGCCTACATTGGGGTGGTTTTGGGGGTGAATGTAGGCATATATGGCAGTCCCATGGAGTGTCTGGGGTTGTTGGAAGGCCCAATTTCTTCCGCGTCTTTCACCCCGTTCACCCAAATTCAGGGACTCGGTGCACAGGATTGGGTGAAGCATCGTGACTCGGCCCTGGCGCAAATCCAAGTGAGCACTCCCTGGCGGAAGTGCCCGATCAGGATCCGCACCCGAAACACAACAACTGCTTGGTGTTTTCAACCAACTTGAAAAATATGAGTCAAAGGGTCCAATCATCCCCAAGTAAGGGTTGAAAATACAAATATATATCCGAAACCATAACCTAGACAAGGGTTTGAGGTGAGAGATCTGCAGGGGTTGAGGTTTGATGCCCGGAAGGGCCCTATGGATCCACTCGTACCGAACCAGGTCGGTATGGTGAGGAAGGAGACGATTTTATGTAGGCGCCAGGAGAGCCCTACATGCCCTCTGAGAAGGAGGCAGTGGATCCGGGATGGAAGTGGAACCAAAACCCAGGTACAGGGAAGGTGGAAGTGGATTTGTCGCACTACGACCGCTGGCACGAAAACGATTGGTCACAAGGAGCCCTGAAGGATCATGAAGGATCCTCCTGACCTAGATCTGAAGTTTTGAGGGAATGAATGAATCATTCTGACATGAGTGGGTCACTACAAGTCATGTCATAAGCCTCCAAATTCAACACCACCGGGTTGTAAAATAGGTATCCTATATGTTCTCACGCCAAACAGCAAAGGAGTTGTCCCAATATAGAAGGAATAGTTACGATATGTTACGATAGTTGACGTTACTTACACCTCCAAGTACCTCCTCAGAAGGTGTTTGGACTCCAAACCCACCCACCCGAAACACCTTCTCAGAATGTACTTGGAGGCATATAAATTTTAATTGCAGTATATGTATTGAAGTCTGGCTGGTCTGGGTATCAGTTGCTTCATCGGAAATCCCCACCTCCCCGTCCTTGCGATCAAAGCTACAAACCTGCGGCACCACGCCCACGTCGGAGGCCTTCTTCGGGCAGTTCGGCTTCGAACTGCCCTTGATGCACCTCAAACACCACCCACTCTGAGCCAGCTAAGTGTCCAGTCCAAACACATGCCAACTCAAGCCAGCCTAAGGTGGTGTTTGGTCTCATCCAGTGAGTGGATGTTCTGGGCACCCCCTAACCTCCAAGGACTCGGCACCCCGAGACTCGCCGTGACTCCTGCATAGCTGGGAGTTCCGCGCTCCCTGAAGGGGAAGAAGGCACCGACCCGTTCCCCCTTAGCCGTTGTTCCCGCTCCCCAGCAGATTTTTGGGTTAGAGCTTGGAACAAAAACGAGAGCCGGAGGAGCCAGGTTGACCTCCAAACGCTCAACCCGACCAACTCTGCTAATCCACAGAGCATTTCGGAAAGTCTCATGTAGGGAGCCTTTCCATTCATGACCCGGAGCGGATCATGACCTGGATTCGCGCCCTCCGGTCGTCCAACCACTTCCCCTTTCCCAGGCACGTCCAAGGGAGGTTGGGGCACAAGCCCGGCAAGCTAAACCAGTAATACCTCAGTGCATCGCTCGAAACCGACGGACTCGCTGGGTCCCCTCCGCTCCGCCGCGTGAAACACGGCGCGCTTTCGGCACGGCGCCGGCAGGTGCCGAGCTCCAAGTGGTCGGGGTTTGCTCGGGCGATCGCAGCTTGGAGAGTCGATCTGGGGTGCGGTGGATCTTGGCGAAGTCGGACAGTGCCGCGGTTTCGACCGGGCTGTCTGAGAGAGTTGGGTGAATGAACCTGGTGATCGGACCAAAGTTCAACCTGGTCCTTTATACCTCATCATGTGAGTAGTGTTTTGATACGACCAAATCCAATAACATGATGTCCTTGACCTTATAGGGATTCAATCAATGGTGGTTTGAACCCTAGGCCCCTAGCAGCCCGAGCTCTCAGGGGCGGCAGAACCCGAGCGATCGCCCACACCAATGCGATGACACGATGGCCAGCCATGCTGATTCGCTCGTTCCAAGGCGCGGATATGCCACAATCATAGCGACCTGATATCGCCCAGGCTGATCACTCCAAACGACCCTTGGTCCCTCAAAACCTAGGGATTGGTTCGACCCCAGACCCCTCCAAAGGATTCGGGTCCAGGGTCGCGTCTGGGCAGGCTGATCATCTCCGTGGATCCCAGGCAAACCACTAGAGTAGTAAGGAACCAATGGCCCTCGGAACCGGTCGGACTGGTTTGAGTCGAACTGGAACCAACTGGGACTCCCAGCGAGCTCTCGTGGGAACTGCCTGGATGCCCTGGGTCTGATACCACACAATGAGCTCTTAGTCTTGCTCTGTCAAGCTGATAAATATCGTGAATTTACACGTTTCTCAAATGATACAGTATGTTCGGGAACATGCGGATCCTCAACCTTTAGATCAACTTCTATACCTGCACCCGACTCTACAGGTGTTTCCCGGTGTCCAGAAACCACCTGTGAGGGTCTCCAAACAGCCTGGACAGGAGGGTCCTGGTATGAAACCTACTTATTGTATCTTATTGATTGTATCTTATAGATTCACCTTTAGATTCAAAGGTCCCCAAAAAGCCGATCATGGTAATCGCCTCCAGAAGCCCAAGAAAAGCAAGTCATTTCACATCAATGTAAACTCAAAACCCTCATGTAAACTCAATGACTATACAATATAGACTATACACCTGCAGTCGCAAGACGGGGTGCTATCCATGGAGGTAGTCAGGGTGCCCAACTACTCCACCCACGTAAGGGGACTAAACACCACCCCGTCTTGTGACTCCAAGTATACATGATATATTATATATACTCCCCGCATCAAGCCCGCGTTGGCAAAGGTTGTTCCACATGGCGGGGGCGATTTATCAAGAGTCTACATAAGCCTCAGCCTGAGTAGCGGCTCTGAGTAGCTAGCTTCTGGACCCATTTTCGATTGATTCTTCGTCTTATGGACTCCATCCCAGCCACTCAAACGAGATTGGATGGACCAAAACCCCCTGGAAAAACCGGGTGGAGGACCACCCAGGCTGGATAGTGCTAGTATGTGCTAGTTGAGGGTGCTGTCTTCTTAGACTGCAGTCAAACCAAGAAACCATCGTTCTTCACCGTCGGAAACGGTCGGTCACTCAATGTACTTTCGTTGGATGTGTTTTCTTTCCACCCAATGCGGATCCGCACCCGAAACAAAACAAGGGTTTGGTTCGGGGCCCCAGCC